TCCACTAATGGTTTGATCCCAAATGGAGCTTTGGAAAGCTGGTATGAATCCTTCCTGCCTACATCCATTAGTACTAGTTCCATTGAGGAAGAAGCACCCCACATTGTGTACCCTTTTCACAATGTTTTCAAAGGTTTTTCAGCCCGTTTATCTCCTGAAGATGTAAAAGCTATGGAGAACATACCTGGCTTTGTATCTGCCAGACCTCAAAAGATTTTTCCTTTGCTTACAACCCATTCTCCGAGTTTCTTGGGCTTACATCAAAACATGGGATTTTGGAACCAATCCAAGTATGGTGAAGGTATCATCATTGGAGTGTTGGACAGTGGAATTGCGCCGGGACACCCTTCATTCGGGGATGACGGTATGCCTCCGCCTCCTCCTAAATGGAAGGGGAAATGCGAGTTCAACAACTCGGTCTGCAATAACAAGTTAATTGGAGCAAGATTTTTTTCCATTGGAAATGGATCACCTGTTGATGAGGGTGGTCATGGAACGCATACCGCTAGCACAGCTGCCGGAAATTTTGTTGCCGGCGCAAATGTGTTTGGAAATGCTTATGGCACTGCTGTTGGAATTGCTCCTCGTGCTCACTTTGCGATTTACAAAGTATGCGCCGGATTAGGTTGCTCGGAGAGTGACGTTTTGGCAGCTATGGATGTCGCCATTGATGATGGTTTCGCTTTCCCTTCAAGGTGATAAAGACGTACCATTTTATGGCAGCAATGTTGCATTAGGTGCGTATAGTGCAATGGAGAAAGGAATTTTTGTGAGCTGCTCAGCCGGGAACCAAGGACCCTTTTCAAGCACTTTATCAAATGAGGCCCCCTGGATTCTAACCGTTGGAGCTAGCACTACTGATAGGAAAATCAGGTCCAGTGCTGTGCTTGGAAACAAGCAGGAATTTGCCGGAGAATCCCTTTACCAGCCCAAGAATGATTCATCACAACTTTATCCTTTGATTTACTTAGGAATGAACCAAAGTGATTTCAACTCTGGCTACTGTGGCTCAACTGCTTTTTCCAAGTTTGACGTTCGAGGGAAAATAGTGGTTTGTGATTCTGGCCTCATTAACGCAACTCAGAAAGCTCATAATGTCAAGACTGCAGGTGGTGTTGCCATGATCATCATTAATGGACAGACAGCCAATAACACAATACAGGTTGAACCTACTGTCCTTCCTGCTGTATATCTAAATTATCTTGACGGATTGAAAGTTGTGGACTACATCAACTCAACAAAATCACCAAAGGGAAGGATCAAGTTCCAGGGAACAGTTATTGGAGATAATCATGCTCCTCAAGTTGCAGTATTTTCTTCCAGGGGTCCAAGCAAGGCAAGCCCCGGAATTCTAAAGCCAGATATAATCGGCCCCGGTGTGAACATTCTCGCAGCGTGGCCTGATTCTGTCGAAAACAACACCAACACGAAATCGACATTCAATATCATCTCAGGCACATCCATGTCTTGCCCTCACCTCAGCGGTGTTGCTGCATTGTTAAAAAGTGTTCATCCTGATTGGTCCCCTGCTGCGATTAAATCAGCGATGATGACTACTACAGATCTCTTGAACCTCGGCAACAGACCCATTGAGGACCAGAGGCAACTTCCGGCTAATATATTTGCCACTGGTTCAGGCCATGTTAATCCATCAAGAGCAAATAACCCAGGTCTAATCTATGACATCGAGCCAAAAGACTACATTCCTTATCTGTGTGGCTTGAATTACACAAACAAGGAAGTTGGAGTTCTTTTGCAACGAAAGGTGAACTGCTCTGTTGAATCAAGCATACCAGAAGCTCAACTAAATTACCCTTCATTTTCTATCTCCTTCAAAGCCAACTCATCCGGAATTCAGAGGTACACAAGGACGGTTACTAATGTTGGTGAGGCTAATTCCATTTACACCGTAGATATTTCTGCACCGAATGGCGTCAACGTGGCAGTCACACCAACCACACTCAATTTCACACAGCTGAATCAGAAGTTGACATATGAAGTTGAATTTAGTGCACTATCAAGTCCTACCATTTTACCAGTTACATCTCAAGGTTCCCTTACTTGGAAATCGACAATGTTCTCTGTTAGAAGTCCAATTGCTGCAATTATCGGAGGAAGATAATGGTTCGAACAGACGAACAATCAGAGAGACATTAGACACTTCGTAGTTCTGAAATTTGCTTCTACTTATAGTCTTGAGTGGTTTATGTTTTTGTTTCTCATTTCTTTTTGTTCTTTCTTTTAGCAAAATTTGTGTCATATTGCAGTTCATCACATGTTCATGTTTTGGCATTTAGTTTCTCTGAGATAATAATAATTCACTACGGTGATGTCTAAAACAGTAGCATGGTTGTCAAACTTGAAGCAAAAATCAAGATCCGTCAAAGTTATCTGTGGGTGTGTCAAATTTTCAGTAGCAAGGATGTCCATCAAAATTATTGAGAAAATCCATCAAAATCACATTAAAAAAATTATATGGAAAATCCACCAAACTATAAAGTAGATCCAACCTATATGGTAGAACCATGATATTGCAGATACATCAAAATCATACTGCAGAGATATTAACATTATTATACTGCCGGTCTGTCAAAAACTATACCACATAAATATCAACATTATGTCATAGATACATAACATTATATTGTGTATACATGAAAATTATGCCACAGTTACACTAATATTCTATAGAAGTTACATCAAAATTGTACCGAAAATACATCAAAATTATGCCAGAGATGCATTATATTACACAGTAGATACAACAAAATTATACCGAAAATACATGAACATGATACTAGATGTCTAAACAAAATTAAAGAGCATGTCCATCAAAATTAAAGAGCATATCCACCGATATTATGCATCAGATACATCAAGAAAACATGAGTATCATAAAAAAAGTTATATGGTGGACCCATAAAAAATTCAAAAATATAAAATCATGATTATAAAATTTGGAACAAAAAAAAATATTCAATAAAGCTTTCATTGGACAGATCCCCTTCAGTACTTTAAATTACATCATAACATGTGACTTAATTTTTGACAAATTAAGAGAAAATTTCATTTCGAAATTTTAGATATTTTTAAATTTTGCTTTGAAAATTTGCAAAAAAAAAAAAAAAAAAAAAAACTCATAATTTTTTTTTTAAAAAAAATTTATCTTTTTTGAAACTTGTCAAGTTTAAAGAAGGGATCCACCCCATTGCTGGTGGATGGCTCCACTAAAGAAATTACCTTTAGAAGTTTATGTGCACTTTTTTTTTCCCTTGCATTTTCTTCTACAAACTCAACTGTTAGAATGAACATAGTTACATTGTGCCCTCTATCCTCTTAATAAACAAATAGGTACCAGTACTAAGGACAAGTGTAAGAACACTAACTAAGGGAAAACACATGAAATTAAGCCGGTTGCATTTTGTTCGATGATTGCCATCCATCAGTGGCACTTCTTCAAATAATGTCTTGGTTGGGATGAAGAATAATTTAGTTGAGCTTCCGGAGACAATTAAATAACACATATCATACCAAATAAATTAATTACCAGGTATAATTGATAGTATATCCTTGTTAGTTGAGTTTCGATGGAATTAAAAAAAATGATTTTTAAAAACTCATTACATATGCAAATGTTCATGTTTTGTATTAAAGGTAAAGTTAAAAATTGATTTTTCAATAAACACTCTCAAAAAATAAATTACTGTAGTACTTATTGGACTGTAACCTTTTAATTCATGCTTGAATTACAAGTGCGGAGTTATGGAGTTTATATCAAGAGTTACAATTAGGTTAGGGGTTGGGACAACGCCAGAAGAAGAAGAAGAAAATAGAAGCAATAGCGATGATGATAAACGCGAATTTTACATACTATTGGACAAAAAGGTTTCCATGAGACTATCCCTCTTTGAAGCCAAAGGTAAACGTTTGTGGGGAAGCCAGATTCAGATGGTCGTTAACTGTCTCAGATTTGGGAGATTTGCTTTTTATATTTTGAAATGAAAGAATATTTTGAGCGAGTGATTTGATCGTAGCGAATGCCCATAGATTGCAGCTATTTTAGCGCCTCCTTTGCTCCAATTCGACAGTCATCAGGAGTTGGTTTGACCCCAAGAATACATTGCCAACAAACTTTTCCCTTTGTGCATTATCTTTTTCAAGTATTGGACCTGAAATTGAAGCTTTTAAGAGAGGTATTATTAAAGTTATTTTTGTCAAACAAGTTTGCTCTTTAAAACGACAATGATACTAATGTTAAACCCTAAGCCTTAAGGAGTGCACCTGAGTTGTTGACTTCACCCGGAAAATTATGATATTTGTTGACTTCGTTAGGTTTTGGCTGAACTGATCGTGATTGAGAAAATCAACAAATGAAGCTGCCACTGGATAAGCTGATTTGTTCACAATCAAAGTACCACATCGATCTTGTACCAAAAAAAAAAAAAAAAAGTACCACGTCGATATGCGAATTCTGTGAAAGCGCAATAGCTCCAACGATCTGCAAAACTTCAGTTATGATATCATAAAGAATCTAAAACATGACAGCGAATTGATTGTCTTTATTGGGCTGAAACAACTCCGATCCATCATCCACTCAGAGGCGGCTCCTCCTGGGAGCTCTCTCTCTGAGTTATGGGATTTTAGTGCTACGGATATGGCTCAGTAAGGGGCTGAACCATTATTCGAAGCACAGGTTTAAGCACCGCGTTGAGCCAACCGTAGCCATTATCTACGGAGGTATACGAGCCCCCCTTGCTAAGAAAGATGGGATATGTACTGCCCAATTTAATGGGCAAATCCAATCACTTTATTTCCCCTACTTAGGTGATAAGCCCCCGTCACAGAGCTCGGCGAACACAAATCCTAAGTTCGATCTTATATAGGAATAGAATTATAGCTCCTTCACCAATGTGGGGTTTGCAATAGGAGATTAATCACATGTATACAATCCATTCTTCCGCATTTGACAACACTAAAGTATCTCTCTCTATCCCTTCTTTGTTCGATATCAGACTCAACAACTAAGTCAAATGGGTTGTGCAAAAGAGTAACTAATGCGCAAACTCCACAGCTAAGAATTCCAGTGTCTCAAAAAAAAGAAGGTTATTTTGAATGAACAGGAGTTTTGCTTCAAGTTAGACAACTACACATTTGTTTAGAGAAACTAAATGCCACATGTGATGAACTGCAATATTTCACAAATATTGCTAAGAGAAAGAACAAAAAGAAATGAAAAAATTCAAAAAAATTACACACTCAAGAAAATTCAAAGTAGAAGCAATTTTCGAAACTACTAAGTGCCCAGTGTCTCTATGATTGTTCGGACCGTTATCCTCCTCCGATAATTGCAGCAATTGGACTTCTAACAGAGAACATTGGTGATTTCCATGTAAGGGAACCTTGAGAAGTAACTTGCAAATTGATAGGAGTTGATAGTGAGCTGAATGCGACTTCATATGTCAACTTCTGATTCAGCTGTGTGAAACTGAGTGTGTTTGGTGTGACTGTCACATTAACGCCTTCCGGTGCTGAAATTTCCACTCTATAAACTGAATTAGCCTCACCGACGTTAGTAACCGTCCTTGTGTACCTCTGAACTCCGGATGAATTGGCTTTGAAGGAGATAGAGAATGAAGGGTAATTTAGTTGAGCTTCTGGTATGCTTGATTCTACACTGCAGTTCACCTTTCTTTGCAAAAGAAATCCAACTTCCCTGTTTGTGTAATTTAGACCACACAGATAAGGAATGTAGTCTTTTGGCTCGATGTCATAGATTAGACCTGGGTTGTTTGCTCTTGATGGATTAACATGGCCCGAACCAGTGGCGAAAATGTTAGCCGGAAGTTGCCTTTGGTCCTCAATGGGACTGTTGCCGAGGTTCAAGAGATCTGTAGTAGTCATCATTGCTGATTTAATCGCAGCAGGGGACCAATCAGGATGAACACTTTTTAACAATGCAGCAACACCGCTGAGGTGAGGACAAGACATGGATGTTCCCGAGATGATATTGAATGTTGATTTTGTGTTGGTGTTGTTTTCAACGGACTCAGGCCATGCTGCAAGGATGTTGACACCCGGGCCAATGATATCTGGCTTCAGAATTCCAGGGCTTGCCCTACTTGGACCCCTGGAGGAAAAATATGCAACTTCAGGAGCATGATTGTCTCCAATTGTTGTTCCCTGGAATTTGATCCTGCCTACTGGTGATTTTGTTGAGTTGATGTAGTCCACAACCTTCAATCCATCAAGATAATTCAAATGTATGGCAGGAAGCACATTAGGATCAATCAGTATTGTGTTATTGAGTCTCTGTGAATTAATGATGATCAAGCCTACACCACCGGCAGCCTTGACATTTTGACCTTTTTCAGTTGCTGTGTAACCACCGCCAGAATCACAAACCACAATCTTTCCTCGAACAGCGAACTTTGCGACAGCAATTGAGCCACAGTATCCAGAGTTGAAATCACTTTGATTCATTCCTAAGTAAATTAAAGGATAAAGTTGTGATGAATCATTCTTGGATTGGTAAAGCGATTCCCCATCGAATTCCTGCTTGTTTCCAAGTACAGCCGTGGACCTGATTTTCCTATCAGTGGTGCTAGCTCCAACAGTTAGAATCCAGGGGGCCTCATTTGATAAAGAGCCGGAAAATGGTCCGTCGTTCCCGGCTGAACAGCTCACAAAAATCCCTTTCTCCATTGCACTATAGGCACCTAACGCAATGTTGTCGCCATAAAATGGTTCAGAATTACCACCGAGGGAGAGCGAAAGAATATCAACACCATCATCAATCGCAACATCCATAGCAGCCAAAATGTCGCTCTCTGAACAACCTGTTGAGCATACTTTGTAAATCGCCAAGTGAGCCCGAGGAGCAACTCCAACGGCAGTGCCATTAGCATTTCCGAACACATTTGCACCGGCGACAAAGTTTCCGGCAGCCGTGCTAGCAGTATGCGTTCCATGGCCATTCTCATCAGAAGGCGATCCATTTCCTATGGAGAAGAATCTAGCTCCGATTAACTTGTTATTGCAGACCGAGGTATTGAATTCGCATTTGCCCTTCCATTTAGCAGGAGGCGGAGGCATACCTTCATCGCCAAATGAAGGGTGATCCGGTGCAATTCCGGTGTCCAACACACCAATGATGACACCTTCGCCATACTTGGATTGGTTCCACAGTCCCATGTTTTGATGTAAACCCAAGAAACTTGGAGTATGAGTTGTATGCAAAGAAAACATTTTTTGAGGCTTAGCTGATACAAAACCGGGCTTTTTCGCCATGGCTTTTATATCCTCAGGAGATAATCGGGCCGAAAAACCCTTAAAAACATTGTGATAAGGGTACACAATGCGGGATGCTTCTTCCACATTGGAACTAGTACTGATGGTTGAAGGAAGAAAGGACTGATACCAACTTTCTAAATCTCCATTTGGGTTCAAACCATTACTGGAGGTGGAAAGTTGAGTATTAGAAGATTCGGGTAGTTCGAGATGAACAATATAAGTCTCTAAGTTGGCTGCAGCAGACAGTATTGCAAACGAATTGGAACATAAAAAAACGCAGAAGAACACACAGAAAATATGCTTCCAACCCATAACTGAATTTGCAAGAAGTAATTAAGAGTGTTTCTCCAAAAAAGATTAGAGGAAAGTACAGTACTTGGTTAAGGAAAATTGGTGATGTTTTTTGGGATTTGAAGTTACTGAGTATTTATAGGAAATGCTTGGCAGTTGAACAGTGCAGTACGTAGGGGAATGAGTCAGTGTAAAAAAGAGCGCGTATTCGTCTTTCTTTGATGGTCAGAGATTACATGCAAAATTCAAACCACGTCCAAGTCCAAAAGTGAAGAATACATAACATCGTTAATTAATTGCTCAATTCACGGAAGCGTCTCAACACGCCAAACAGTAGAATATTTTATTGGGTTTTATATGGATTGGATGAGACGACCCGTTAAGAAAACTGAATTGGACGATTCTTGTCATTGAAGTTGAGAGGAAGCCGCGCTCTCGTGATGTATAAGAAAAGAAAAATTCTTTTATGTTTAATTCCTATTAAATTCATGATATATTTGTACAGTATGAGGTGATTAAATTGGTACATACCACACTCTAAACTAGTTGTAGTTTAATCGACGCGAGTGAATCAATCTTTTTCAAAAAGAAAATGTGTCCCAGAAATTATTTGTTCATTAACATGTTCGAATTTGAAACATACTTAATAAAGGAAAATAAATTGCTAACTGCTTGACCATCGTAATGGCCAAATCTGCCAAAGTTTTTGAAGATAAAAATAAAGATGGGAAAAAAAAATTAGAATCCAATACACTCCCTCAGGTGCTTATTATAAGGGGTTTTGATTTCGTCCTAGATTTAACGTATGATGTATTTTTAATTGGAAAAAAAATCTTAAAAATATATTTTTATATTTGTTGTATTCTATTAATTATTATGAAATGTTTTTAAGGTTTTTATTTCAATTCAAAAGACATCTTAGTAAAACCTAAGACGAAATCAAAATATCTTATAATAAAGACCGGAGGGAATAAATATTAGTCCTTTATGTCTGTTTCTTGCCGTCTTCTTTAGGCTCTTAATATCTAATTTGTATATGTACCAAGCGAGCTGGGAGAAAAACCTAATTCTATACATGGTCTCTAACCTATAGTTGTCTTACTATTGTGGTTTTGTTTTTTCCATAATGATAGTTGAGTTTCGAAAATAATTAGTGTTAGAAAATTATGTTAACATTTTTTTTTTTTTGAAGAAAAGAAAATATATAGAATAGAACTAACGTAATTCTTTTGTTCTTTTTTCTACTGTGCATAAATTTTATTTGTGGATTCTTATTGTTTAGAATGGGGTCATCGCATTAATACACATTTGGACTACCTGGGATCAAATCAAGGTTGGTTTTCTTTGTCATAACTTCGATTTGATTAATGGATGCCTAGTTCTTCTTTGAAATCCAAGTTGAATTCGTGTTTTGCGGAAAGTTAGTCGAAACTAGAAAGACGACGGTTTTTCTGATGGCAGGAGTCGTTCTATATCATTAAATACTCGATATTTGAAATTATTTTTGTCTTGATGAAATCGATTTAACTATATAGATCCCGATGATTTTAATGAGTCTTAGCGCGATGTTCATGCAAATAGTTTAACTACGTTTTAATTAAGATTCTTCCGAAGATCAGCTCATAATCTTCCCTTAACCAGGTCTGGTGTTGATTGGTCAGAAAAAGCATACACAACTACCAAGTCCACCTTGTCACATGCATATAGTTTCCAAAAAAATTATAAACCACCAATTAAAAATTATAAGCAAATTAATTGATTACTAATCCCACTAGGGGACCGAAGTTCAAGAAGAAAAGGACTAAGCTGCTGTTTGATATAATTTCTTGATTACATGTATACTATCACATGATAATTTGAGCTTTGATATATTTTCATCAGTATCAACGTAAAAGTGATAAAATCAACATCTTACTTACGTATCAAATGATCACTTCTTGTAATAGTTAATACAGATTTTAGTTGTTTTCTAATCAAATAGATATAAGATCTAATTGTAATATATAGGAAATTGTATTTGTTTTTGAAACTTTTGCAACATAATTGACATGGATATTTTTTTGAAGAAAAATTTTAGTTCAACAATTATGTTCTTCTTTAAATGAGTCTTAAACACTGATAATGGAGATGTCATTATCATCATCGTATTCCATCTTACTCCATACACGTAGAAGAGGAGCTCGGACAGTCCGTTCAATTTCTCTTGAAATATCGAATTCATTGAGAAAGTTAAATTTGAACGCTATTATTAAAGGACACATATGATTGTAAGTGGCTTTTGGTGTGAATTGTTATTAAAATACATTGACATGTACTTATAGCACATGAAGAAAGGTTGGCAAAGTTGGGAGACGACTTTTTTGTTGTTCGGTTTAAAGGGAAATCAAATTGACCTGAAAATTTTGAATTAATTGGACTAGGAAATTTACTAATTGATTAATCCATGGGAACAAAATATTCATTATGTGATTTGTTTTCGTACTCATATATTAACAATTGATGACGATGATGTCTCCAATTTTTTGATTCATTAACCAAATATTCAGTATATATTTTCCAGAAAATGATTCCCCCAAATTAATGTGATTTTGTTTAATTTTCCTTTACATATTGATGATGATATCTCCCAGTTTTTGTGTCATCAATTGGGGAATGTGAGATTGTTTTTGGTAGTACTCTCACATGATTCTCATATGCATTTTTATGTTTTAATTTAGTTTTTAGTTTTTTTTTTTCTTCTTAAACTAAAAATGTTGTATCTTTTCGTTTTCTTTTTCATATTTTCTTTTCTATTATTTTTTAACATTTATTGTGATCTTTTATTACAATTATTAAATTTTTTATCCCTTTTTATCTTTTATTATTTACTATGTGTGATAAACATTTTATCTCCTTTCATCTTCTGTTCTTTACTGTTGGTATTAAATTTTATATATATTTTTCTTCTATTATTTAATAAGGTTATACTTTTCATCTCCCCTTATCTCTTGTAACAACTTCTTCATGTGTCCTTTTGCTTACTTTTAACATTCATTACATTAGTTTTTATTAAAACTATTTAAGTACCACAATTCTAATTCAACTTTTACGTTGGTTTTCTCTCTTCTCCATTTATCTCTTATCCTGATTTTCTTTCTTTTTTCTCTTCTTTCGCAAGTTCTTTAAATATGTTTTAACAATTTCATTGAAAGTTCAAGTTGAATTCGAACAGAAGTTGGGATGCTGATGTTTAGCTAATTAGATAACATAAAGTTAAGTTGCAAGATCCAAAAGCAGTGAATGAACATTGTAACAAAAAAAAATTAAATTGTTCTTGAATTATAGACGTCTTCTTGATTTCAGGTAAAATTTAATGCGGTTAATAATACTTTACAATTCGTAAGCAATAGTTTTTTATTTACTTTTTCACCAAACATTTTGAAACCATGACTCTCTTTCACATATTTAGGTTATTGACATTATTGTTGAAAATATCAAATTAAATTTATGTGAGAAAAATTATACACAGTTCCATTTTGATAATCTATATTTTGTAACAAACCGGATTATGAAAATAAGATAATGGAACATTCTTTTGTTGTTTCTCTCTTCAAATTTAAGCATGTCATAATTACATATTTAGAGTTATCATATATTATTATACTCATGTTGTTTTTTATTGTAACACGCCCGAAATGTGTTCGATCCATTTAGTTGATTGAGTAATTATTATTTGATTCATTGACGACGATGATGATATCCCTAATGCATGTTTTGGTAAGTTTCTGAATTTACTATCAAATTCATTTTGGTTAAAGAAATATATAAGTAAATTTGTGAAATTAGTGATTTACTAAATAAATTTTATTTCATCCAATTAGCTTAACTTTTATAATGTTTTGACTGACTAATTGATTACACGCCATGTGTCCAAAAAATGAACTCTTTTATAATATTCCATCCGTCTCCAAAAAATAGTCCACATTGAGTTTTGAGTTTTATACTTTTTTGTATAAATTTACAAAACTCAATGTGGATTATTTTTGTGGAACAGAGGTAGTATATAAGACTAATGTCGGTGGTGAAATTTAATATGGATAACCTTCTAGATTTAAACTGTACTTGCGATTCTGTATTCAAATTAATCAGTTTCAACGAAAATTGCTCCAAAGGAGTCTGACCAAGTGTTCCAGAGAATGCGCTCCCAAGTATGCCAATGTTATCATCTGATCACTCCTTTATTATGGGGGTCGATTTTAGTTTTTGTCGATGTTACCATCCGCAAACTTATGAAATTTCAACCAAGTCTATAAGAATACAATCCGTTCTTCTAAGAAAAATGATTTATGAATTATAACACTATATATCTTTTAATAATACAAGAGAAAAAAAGACTTATGTGTCGTGCTATCATGCATTTGTTTCCCGTCCAACCAAAACGATGTTGTTTTGTAAAAACAAAAAAAAAAAAAAACTAATTTGCCTCCCACCTAATTATACTGAAACTTTATATCTCTTTATAAGAAAAAAAATATAATTAATTTTCCTTTTGATTGTCCGAAAATTAATGAAATTTTTGACAAAATTAAAAATATAAAACAATCAGAATCATACCATTAATGCATTAATTCTGAATAATCTCTTAATCAATGAAGTTAGTTTACTGAAATAGAAATCATTTCTCCGTAATTTTTGATATTTTGTAAAAATTTCTATTTTTCTTATATTGAAACTAAATCATTGTAATATTCATCTTATTACAAAAATATTGAAATCTAAAAGATAAACTTACGAAAAAAATTCAAGTAAAACATTCTTCTTGTATTTAAGTTTAAAGAAATTTAAATTTCAATAGTATAAATACCACTTAATTTTAACACCATCTTTTTTTTTTACTTCATTTTTTACTATTCACTTATTCTTTGTATCATGTTTTTCTTTAGATTATATTTCATAATCAACCATAATCAAGAACGTAGTATTTTCTTCACAACTAATAATCATTTTAATAATACATTTTAATATACTCTGTGTAACGCACGGGAAAGAACCTAGTTTATACATATATATATATATATATATATATATATATATCATTTGCTAATTAGAATATAATTACTT